ACCCCCAAAGGGGTAAAAACATTTTTTTTCTTTCAAAAAATCAAAAAAAGCTAATACCAGCTAAAAAAAACAACCTAAAATACCGTAAATCTACCATATTTAAAAAAAAATGATTTAAAAACAAAAATATAAAAAGTTAGCCCACTCCTCATATGGCACACTAAGTCCTTCTGGCTACCCCAAACCGCAAACCAGTGGGCTGGGGAGAGAGGGAAGCTATTAAACACCAAAGGTTGTACCAAGTAAACTCCTCCAAAGTGGGTGTGCTTGTCCTTGCCTGCTCCAAAGCCTTGTAGTAAAAACATTTCACTAAAATCCTGTATATAAAATAAATTAAATAATAAAACCAAAGTACTGTTTAATGGGCAATGTGTATATATTAATTAATAACAAAAAATGTTTTTAAAAAAAAGTGTTAGCAACCCACTAGTAAACAAATGTAATGTAAGTACTGTGTTTACCAATCATCACATTTACTGTTTGCCACAACCAAAAAAGTCTCAGCTTTGCCCAGTTTAAAAAAAAAAAAGCTAGGTAAAACCAGTAAAGCTGTAAAGGCCCCTTTAAATTAAAAAAAAGGCCAAGTGTAAAAAAATCGTCATTAACAACATCCAAAAATGGCAAATTAAAAACAAGGTAATGTTGCAAAAATTGGGGAAGGCAGCTCACACCCTAAACGTTAAGTGGGTGGGTCCGTACTCCATTGTAAATTGCATCTCCCCAGTAGTGTATTAGCTTCAGCTACCCGGTAAATCAAAATGTGTGCATGCCAATTAGCTCAAAACATATGTTTCTCCCTTGGTTTCTGGTCATGGCGTCATGGGCCTCGCTTGTAAACCAGCCACCTGCCTGGACCATCCGGGTTTCCAACTGTCCATAAAATTATCTAAATAATCATAATTATATAAAAAAAAAATACCTCCGAAGGCTCTCCCTAGCTCAAGCTGCTAATGGGGTCCAAGCCACAATGTGGCAAAAGGCTTAAAAAAGTGCTTAAAAATAATGTATATCCAAATAGACACAGCAGGGTCAGAGCAAAATACCTGGTGGGTGGCCCCAAACCTCCCCTAAACCGCATAAAAACAAACCCTGTTCCTCATGTGGTGGCCTAAAGCAAAATAAAAAGCCTTTTAACAAGCAATAATCCCTAAATGCAATATTATTGTTGTAGCCTTCTCACTACAAAATGTTAATTCGGGGTCAAGGGGGAAAATGTCACAACCCAATGACCCCCTCCCTCAGGGGGTCCCCTGGGAAGGCAAATCAGCATTTTATGTTGCTAACGCTGTTGCAAGCATCTCAAGGCATTTCAAAAAGGGTTAAAGGTGTAAGTGTAAAGTAAAAAATTCCTTTGCAGGTTGCAAAAGGCCAAAAAAAAAAAAAATCGGGTTAACTCAAAGCCTCAGCTCAGTCCAAAGATAAGACGCAGGCTCCAGTCCAAGGTCACGGCACTCAAACAAACTCTATGCAGCCAAAAACCCTGCAGCCACTTCTGCATCTTGCGACCCCAGCCAACCATAAAAAAAGGGGGGTCAGCTGGGCAAAACTGCAAAAATTGCAAAACTCGCAAAACAATAAAGGCCAGCAAAAAAAAAATTTGCGTTGTCCCTAAAGCCGGTGTGTTTTTAAAAAAGCTAAAAAAAACACAAAAAGCCAGTTTAAACTGGTATAAAAAGCACAAAAAACAAAGGCCCCTAAACAAAACACCCCCCAAAAAACTCAAAGCTTTAAAGCCCTCCCAAAAGTAAAAGCAAGTCAGAAATCAACAGCAAACCCTTAACGGCCTGTGCACAAAACAGAACTCTCATCCACCGTTCCCCCTCTTCTTCTTACGTTACACCCAGGCTTGGCCAGCCATGGGTTGTGCATGTGTAAGTATAAAAACGGATTAGGGCATGGACGCTAACGCTTTTTTCCTTCCTCTAAGTAACGTAAAAAGCCCCCAACACTCACTGCTGTTATTTTAATAATAAAGCTTTAAAACTTAAATCCTTGCTCCTTCATCTCCTCCCCTAACAATCCTACCTAATCACCCAACTCCTCAGGCAAATTAATAACAAAAATCTGTCACAATACCACCAAACGTTTTCTGAAAGGCCTCAACAACATTTACCCCGGAATCCTCACTCCCACTCCACCTTGGGACCTCAACTTAGTTCTCCAGGGCATCACCAGACACCCGTTCGAACCATTAGCCACTTGCTCACTTCTCCACCTGTCAATGAAGGTGGCCTTTCTAGTTGCCATTACATCTGCAAGACAAATGAAGGAGCTAGGAGACCTCATGACTGACCCCCCCCACACACAGTATTTTCCGAAGATAAAATCACTCTCAGACCACATCCCAAGTTTTTACCAAAAGGTCGCCTCTTCGTTCCATCTCAACCAGCCCATCTACTTACCAACATTCTATCCTAAGCCACATAAGGATAGACGAGAATCCATGCGCCACACCCTGGATGTTCGCAGGGCCCTGGCTTTTAACCTAGATAGAACAAAGTAATTCTGCAGGTTCCCAAAATTATTTGTTTCAATCATGGAATGATCAAAAGGAGACACCATTTCCAAACAGAGGCTCTCCAAATGGATTTCAAAATGCATCAAACTGTGTTACCAGCAACAGAACCTGCAGCCCCCTATGGGGATTCATGCACATTCCACCAGGTCAGTGTTGACTTTGATAGCTTTTCTGAACAGTGTTCCCATCGCGGACATATGTAGAACTGCAATCTGGGCCTCTGCCCATACATTTACACAGCATGGAACATCTGATGCATTATTCAGACTCATCCCGTATTATCCTCTACCACGACTTCAACTCCGAAGCCCCTCCTTTCCCTTGGAGGGCACTGCTCTGAAGTCACCTAAAGTGGAGCACCCAGAGGGACATCACTCAAAGAAGAAGGAGAGGGTTATTCACCTTGTACAGTAACTGAGGCTCTTCGAGATGTGTGTCCCTGTGTGTGCTCCACTACCCTTCCTTCTCCCCTCTACTTCAGAGTTTCACTCTATGCTCTGCAATAGAGAAGGAACGGGGGAGGGAGGGAGCGAGCAGAGGGAAGCGTGTCGCACAGTGCCAGTTAACCGCCTGAGGCAGCGCAAGACTGGGACTGTGCATGTGCGACCCAACCAGGCACTGCTACCAAAAATCTCCGATTACAAGCGCGGGGTGCTCAACACCTAAAGTGGAGCACTCACAGGGACACACATCTCAAAGAACCTCAGTTACTGCACAAGGTGAGTAACACTCTTTCATTAAATCTATGCTAAAGAGAAATATTCAGAATCTGATAATGAAGTTTTGTTCGGGAACAGTCTCTAAAAGAAAAAGTATAGTTATTTTATATGTGTATGTTATCATCCTGGCTTTCAGAACATGGTCTTCTTTTGTGCATGTTAAGTATTTTGACATGTGCATGCATGCAATCCTATTTGAAAAGTGCACCGATGTATGTTTGTGCAAGCAACCATGATTGTGTATCAGATGAGGCTGTCTTGTTACCCTTTGTCTCAAGTTAAAATGTAATTTTATGGGACAGTGTTTTGTATTTTCTCTGTACTGGGAGGACCTAGTGTGCTTTTGGTAGCCATTAAAATAACAGTAGTAATTTTCTTCCCTGTCTGACTCCCTCCCCATTCTCTCTGCCAATCCCATCCTGATAATCTGCCTCTGTATTGCTCTCCTTGCTCCTTCAGCCCCCTGCCCTCCACACTCTCTCCTTCTGTTTCTATCACAATCCTCTTCCAACTCACATTTTCTGTTTTGCACTCCATCTGTGGCCTCTCCACAGTATGCTTCCGTGCCTCTCCAAGTTTTCCTTCTCCCAAACCCCCAGAAGCACTAAGGCTAGGTCCACACTACCCGCCCGATTCGGCAGGTAGAGATCGATCTTATGGGATAGATTTATCGCGTCTCATCTGGATGCGATAAATCGATCCCAGAAGCGCTCCCCAGTTGACTGTGGAACTCCTGCTCGCCAAGAGGAGGAAGCGCTGTCGACGGGGGAGCTTGCCTGAACCGTGTGGACCCGCAGTAAGTAAACTTAGTTCAATCTAGGAAACGTCGACTTCAGCTACGCTATTCTCGTAGCTGAAGTTGCGTTTCCAAGATCGATCCCCCCCTGCCTCAGTGTGGACCAGCCCTAAGAAGAGGTGGATTTATTCACTGCAGGCTGCCTCACAGCCACTTGTAAAGGCTATGGGAAAACAGTACCCAGCTTATCTAGTGTACATCAACACTAGGTGGCCATTTTTAATATGGGAGGTAAAATTACATTTTAAACACAAGTGCTTATGACAACATGAACAGCTTTAAACGACACCTAAAATAGTGATGCTTATAGTATCATGAAAAAAAATGGGAAATTTTGTAATTACTTTGTACAAGGGAAGAAGTAAGTAGTCTGTTGGTCACAAACCTTTTGTGCACAAACAATTTATCACTCACAATATTACTTAAATTGACTGATAATGGAGCAACATGATTTAATAATTGACAGAAGGGCAATAAATATGATAATGTTCAATGGGAGTATAAATTGAAATTTGCACATTGCCTTTAAAAAAATCACTCTTTCAAAAGACTGACATGCAACATATATAGATAATTTAATGTAGCTCTTTAAATGAAGTTGAAGTGCTCACATAAAGGATAAACTAGTCTTAGCATCTGACATTCCTCTATAGCATGCAGTGACCCGCGCCACACTTGTTTTCTACCCCACATGCAGTAAAGTTTCCTTGAAATTTTCTCTTGCCTCCCTGCATCCTTCACTTAGTCTAGAATAATACAAAGTCATTTAAAACTCTTCTTAGATTTCCAGGCTTGTCCCATGCCTTCCAAAAGGGATTTATGAATTGCTTATCTTTCTTCCCTAATATTGTAGGAAATGATACCATAAATATAAGCCTTGAAAATATTGTACATTAATTTTCTACTTGTACTATATTTGATTTGAGGAATGACCATGCTTGCCTGATTCTGTTTTACTTGCTTTCAGGTAACATTGCTTTCCTTCCTAATTGAAACAGAAGTTTCATTCCTCGACTATATTAAAGGCGGGTAAGTGATCCCTGCAAACTTTTCTTGTTTTCCTGTTTTCATTATAATTCACTAATAACCTGTTTACATTCTTGATAAGTGATAGTTCTAAATATCCATAAGAATTGCTTTACTTTTTTCATTTTAGGGAGTATTGATAAAAAGAACTTTTTTATGTAGTTAGGTATTTATGTTTTGTTTTGGTAGGGTTTTGTTTTGTTTATTAAATGTGCTTATATCTGTGTTTGTATTCACGAACTCAATGCTGAATAAGTGTACCTTCCACTTGGAGTAGAAGGTGGTAAGGTTCGTGATGGTTCATAGTTTCTGTGGAAGTTCATTCCACAGCCTCGGGGCTGGCCCTCAGAAAGGGCTAGCCCTCAGAAAGGGCTATCTCAGACACACACGAATTCCATTGTACCTGAAGAGTAGAGTTGTTGATCATGGTCCTCACCCTGGAGTTTTAGGCAATCTTTTAGGTATCCCGGAATTAGACCATTGAAGTAGCTTGCTTATTAACTAATTTGAGAATGGATTGAAGGTATAGTCCTATGTAAAACGCATTGCAGTAGTCCAATGTCGAGGTGACAAAGGCATGGATAACCATGGTGAGGTCAGCATTAAAAAGGCCAAATAAATAATGAGATGCACTTAACAAAAATTGAGCGTTAGGAGCAATTTAAGATACTACAAAACATTCTTTCTCCTCCCTCCCCTCGCTCCCAACATTAGAACTAATTCTCGCTGTCTCATTTAGTTGTTTCCCCCAGCCTTTTAGGCCTAAGGCATAACCTGTCTTGTCTGGATGGAATTTCAATTGCCTATCCTTAATCCATGCCCTGTCTTACTAGACACTGTGTAACCTGTTACCAATACCTTGGCAAAGTCAGAAGAGGCAGAAATATAAAAGTGGGTGCTGTCTATGGGGAGACCCCACTCCACAAGTTTAATAACAGTGCAGTGAAAGCTGGCCCTTCTCCCAGAGTCCTGATTGGCATGGCGTGAACAAACAGGAGAAACTGGGGCTCCATCTCCACAGAGCTCTTGTTAGATAGAGAGATGGCAGGAAATCCCACTCCAACTTGTTGCAACCTCTCTTGAGAAGAAGGGATGGCAGCAGTGGCAGAGAATGGACATGCAACTGCTTCTGCTGCAGGGACATGGCAGGCTGAGAGTCTGAATCCTGTGATAGAGTATAGGCCCCAAAGGCTCCTTAGCATTTTGCCTCTGTGAAACTTCACCATGCTACACATGAGGATCAGCCAGAGCCTAAAGTAAGGAGAACCCTAATCAGTGGCTGATGCTGGGGGAGATGACATTGGGTCTGTCTTACTGATCAAGCTGAATGTTTCTTTGTTACTGATAAAGGTGTTGGGAGTGATTTCTTGATGAATTTCTGCCTCCCCAAAGGGAGGGTTCTCGATTTGAAAGTCGTTACTAGAAAATACAGCCCTACCCTGTCAGTTTCCTGAACGCATCGCAACCCATAGTTCTTCACTACCCACTCCCAAATGGTCCTATTCAGACCTTGAACAAGAGGATGATGAAACAGAACATCTGAAAACTCATGAGATAGCCCCTGAAGCAGATTAGCAATTCCTCAATGCTACCCTTCAAGATTTCCAAGAAAAAGGAAACCAAAGCTCTTAAGCAACTCTGTCGACTTCTGCTTTCCTCAGACATGTTAGCTATGGCTTGTAGTCAATGGTATTAAAGGCAGCTGTTCTATAGACATAGATATAGATTATTTTTTTAAAGGATACCTGGAGTGAAATCCTGGACCTACAGAAATCATTTGGAAAACTCCCATTGATTTCATTGGGTCCAGAAATTCACACTGATCATTGTTGTTAGGAGGAGAATGTTGACCAACATCACTTTTGAACGGATTTAGTATGTTTCTTTACTGGAGTCACTGATACTGGGATCAAGACAAGTTGCATTTAAACATCTCTTTTTCTCTGTTATGTGGTAAGACTTGCATTTTTTAGAATTATCCCAGAATGCATTAAAAAAAATCTTGTGTAACAAAAAGAATGAGTAAAAGCCATTCATTTAATATATTACACATATATATTGAAAGTGTCCGGCATATCGTAAAATGCAAGCTGTGAATACAAGTGATTCTTAGTTACCATTATCAATATCTTACATATTTTTCTGTAAACTGAAATAAAAAATCATTTGTACAGTCCTTAACATTAGTAACTTTCATTTATAATTTTCTTTTTCCACATTGTACTATAAACAAAACAGGGTACAATTTAGTAGGATGTTCTACCTGTCTAAAAGTATCAACAGCAATATGTGTAATTTAATTTTTTATTCAAAATATTTTTCATTTGTTAGTGATTTTATACTATCACTTATAAATTCATGCCAGTAAAAACAGACAGGATTTTGAGAAAAAGAACTCTTTAAAAAATGTATACAATATTATTCTTTTCAGATATGACATGCAAAATGTCTGAGGATCAGGAATCAGAATTACTTTCTTCGCTATCTCTTCCTTCCCTTACCCAACACAGTTTCATGGCATTTAATCTTTACTCCAGTAGGCATTTTTTTCCTCATTAGTCACTTTGCCCCTATCTGTAATATGTCTCCAAATTGTGATTCTTCAATTTCATGTTGTTTCCTTTAGCTAGCTCAGGGTGATTCTGCACAAATGTAATATTGGCCTTTTTAGAAATAAACATCTGTGCAATGCAGCATGTTGAAAGTTTTTATGATAATTGATTGGAGGTGGTTAGGACTAACATTAATGAAATACTTGGCAGCTCTTAACTATAACAAATGGGGACTACAGTATTAAGTTCATTAAATTATGTTTTGAGCTCTGCTTCTTTTAAAAAGTCTGACTGGATGTGCCATTCTAGGTATCATCAATATTGTCTTTGTAAAGATGTTTGGATGAGATACTATTCCTCCAATGGCTTGCGATTTTAATTCTTTTATTCTGAGTTATACTTAGTGTTGGATTTTCAATGTACTTGGGTGTAAGGGATCTCTCTCTTGTATCTGAAGTGACATATCTGCCTAACTGGATTTATGTACTGTCATCAAGTATTGATATTAAATCAGCCACTACACCACACAGTGGTTCCCACATTTAAATAGGTATAGTATACTAGAAATTAACATCTCATCTTTCCATTCAGTAATTAGCAATACACATTCTCATCAGAAAAGTTTCAGAAGTTGTAAATAGCATTTGAAGTGCAGACCTGATGAAGAGCTGTATAAGCTTAAAATCTTGTCTCTCTCACCAACAGAAGTTGGTCCGATAAAAGATATTACCTCATCCACCTTGTGTTTCAAATATCCTGGGACCAGCATGGCTACAACAACACTGTATATTTGAAATGCAGGCAAAGTAGCCAGGGGATTGAGGTGTGGTTGAGGTACCCTAGCGCCCCAGTAATCTCTGGCTACAGGAATGCCCCTGGGGGCTGTTGGCAATTGTCATGAAATAGAACAGCCTTGAGACTACTCCAATTTATGCAGGGAACAAACCAGCAGCCAGATGGCCCCAGGAGTTAGAAGGCCCAAATGGTGCTTTTGTGTTGAAGTCTCTAGGTCTTATGGCTGTAAAGATATCTATAAAAATGTGAAGACAAATATAAATTGATGTTGTGATATGTCTGAGACGGGAAACAGCTTAGAGAAATGAACAACCATGTTCATCTTATTGGATGTTAACCTTGAAGCTTAATGATGATGTGTTAAATATGGGCACTGTTACCTATTTCACAGTTGATCATTTACAGAAAAATCAATGTGCTCCATCTTTAGATTAGTAGTGTTTATCGGAATGGGGTGTACAGTAGAGCAACTGCTTGCTGTTGAAATTTGGCATGAGAAATGAGGAATTCAGTCCCCTTCCCACCACAAAATGTGAAGTCATATTTGGCTCTGCCAAAAGTGGGGGAGGATAGAAAGAAATGCTTTTCTTCCCAATACTACGGATGGACACCCACACTTTATTTAGATGCTAAAAGCCCTTTCTATTCACTGTACTAATCACAATGTATTGGATGATGTGCATAAAGTGAGGGGACAAGGGCTTGTGTGCAACAGCTACTTAATTATGAAATTTTAGCCACACAATTCTGGTATGCCCCTGGAACCTTGGGGTATAACTGGGGAAATGAGATAAAACTGAGAGAGAGAAAATATAGAGTTCACATCTGGAAAATCTTCCTGATGGTAATATTGTATTTAACTATGTAGGAGTCTCCAAAGAGAAGTGATGGAAGTCCTGTTACGTGGGACTTCCATGACTAGACAGGACAAGGCACAAAATGCACAGGCTGAAGGAAACAATCCTGCACCAACAAAGAGATTGACTGGATAATCTAATAGGTCTTTCCTTCTTCTAAATGCTAAGATTCTATTATCCAGTTATCATACATATAATGTGTTAAAATCAAGGGAGTTGGGGGGGGGGGGAAAAGCAAACAAATACATTGTTTCAAAAGGAAAAAATAATCAAAATCTATGAAGCATCAAAATCTTTATAAAGTTTCAAATATTGAACATGGGTAATTGTCATATGAGAATTTCAGTTGTGTGAGTTGTGTGTATATAATTATTACAGAATTGCAAAATCTTAAACTATTTGTTTGCAATCTCAACATTTCAGCTTCCAGTAAGTCTTTAAACATAATGTTGGAAACTTTGCCTTTAAGGGTGAGCAGTTAGCTGAATTAGACAGTATCATTTCAAACTCTTCTATAAAGCATGACAGTCTTTTTCTATATTAAAAAAATTACTCTCATCCACAGATCATTTGAAAAGTAGTAAGATTGTAGTGTTCATGAATATATGTAATCCTACCTATAATAAATCATACATCTCCTTGCTCTCTCTTCTGTCCACTCCAATCAAAAACATGTTTCCTAGACATGTCTTTACAATACATAATTTAGATCAGAAGACTGGGGTTAATACTGCAAACAATATATGAAAGAATAAACAGTCCCAGCTCAAATATCTGAGTACAGCTATTTCACGTTGTG